AAAAATTGCCTACTTTTAGGTTTAAAATATATATGGAGCAGGAGGATGGGTTAAAAAAGCACCCAAACAAGTCAGTTGAATAAACACACACACACATACATTCATATTTATAATGCAAAAAGGCAGCAATACAAATGCGCGACACATAAACACAATCAAAAATCAATGACATTGTCACGACGACTTTTGTCTTTAGAAAATCCTTTTTTCCTTGCCTATAGCAAGACAAGCATATTAGCCAACAACAACGTCAATACAAAATTTTAACCCTTTATTTCTAATTATTGTTTTTTGTTAGAAATTTTGTTGTTATTGATGTTGCTGTAGTTATGTTGCCAGCATATTTTCTCTCTACATAGATATATGTATATATTTTAAAATTTTTCTACCCGAATGAATTTTAATTCCTTTGACGGCTTTGGTTTTAAAGGTTTCGGTTTCTCTCTATAACTTTTACTTCAGTATAAACGCATCTTTTTTTTTTTTTGATATTCAGTGTTTGAAAAGTTAATTTTTCAAAGTGTGCTGCAAATATGTGAGATCTCCACTTGTGCTTTCTAAGGATTTGGCGACTTTTTATTTGCTGTAGCAATGATGCACGTTGCATTTAATATAAGTGTGCGCTTACTTATTTTTCCCAGTGTATAGTATAGGCGTGAGTGCAGGTTTTTGTGTGAGTTTGGTGTAGTGAGGGTTTGATTGTTTGCAATTTTTTTTATTTATTTTGCAGTTGAGTAGCGCTGCAATGCGCTGGTATGTGTTAAGTTCGATTTCTAAGCTTCAATTGAAGCTTCACTTCTGCTTACTTCTCTACTCCTTGTTGCCACTGCTGTTGCTACCAATATTGTTGCTTTGTATTGTCTAAAGAAGTCAACCCTTTTTTTATTATTTGCTATAAATTAAAAACTTTTTTTGTTGTTTTTCGAATACAAAAACAAAGACACACGTACTTGAGCTTTAGACGTCAGCGTCAATAGCGTCGTCTTTTGTGCTTCCTGCTTGTTATTAGTGTCGTATGTGTATTATTGTTGTTGTTGCTGTTGAGATATTGTTTTTGTAATTTTTGTTAAATTTTATGCGGGAGTATGTATGCGTGCGTGCGTACGTACGTATGTCATACACTACCTACCCACCGCTGTTTGGCCAATACTTGAATGAGGTTTGAGTGGCTGCTTGGCAATTTTGTTAATTACAAATCGGTTGCTTTTGAACAATTTATTTATTTGTACATTTATACATATAACTATATATATAAATATAGGTATATATATATATAGCAGAATAAAGATATACATGTCGTTTTCGTATCTTTTTAGCATATCATAAAAATGACTTCAACAATTTTTTTCCTGCGTTGCTGTTGTTACTCAAGAGGGTTGCTTTTTAGCATTTTTGGTGCTTTTTTTTTGGTACTTTTTGACCACTCGTTACATATAGTATCCTTTATATATCACAGATCTTTTAGCTTAGATTAATAAAAATATGAAATATTCTTACATATTTGTAATATACGAAATATTTTTTTTTTTATTAAAATTATGTGGTTGAGTTTTGGATGATGTGTGGGCAGCTTCAAAATGCCAATGTCCAAATTTTTCTTTTTTTTTGGACAACTTCGTCGTTGTTGTTGGCATATTTGTAAAATGTCAGTTGTTGTTTCGATACAAAAAAGTAATACATTTTGTTTTTTATGTGGTGTAGAAAAAGGATTTTTAATAAATTTGTTACTGATTTGGTTGCTTTGTTAATTTTGTTTAGGTAGTATGAGGATTTTAAGGATATCGTATATATTCAGGTCTGCACAAAGATAAAAGCAATTGCAAATAAATCAATGATTTGCGCATTTATGTGATTTCTGCTAAAAAAGGATGTACATTTTGTTTTTATTAATGAATATGCAAGGGTATATATATATTTTTTTTAAGAATTTATTTGGAATCATAAAATAATTTTTAATATATACATTTGCAATTATTGCTTTCACTTCAGTGCACAGCAGACAGTTAAAAACTTTGATCGTTAGGGGAATTTAAAAATAAGTATTTTTTAGTATTAATATATTAATAAACTCTTGAAGGAATGAGTCAATTTTTATAAGAAAGAAGAGGTAAGAAAAATTTAAGTCATTTCAGATTATGAGCACAGGTTGTTTTTGGAATTAATAATGGCAATCCATTTTAAACCAACTTAATAGAATTAAGAATTAAATACTTGTGTTATAATAGTGATCTTTAAAAAGTTTATTTTTATTTTTTTTTATATATTTTTCGTACACACACATACACAAATAGTTATGTTACAAATTAATAATATGTTAACAGCATACAAATTTTCAGTAATTCATTTGCAGTGTGTAGTTAATAATTCAACGAATGTTGTTCGTAAAAATAAATTTCCTTAGCACACAAGACAACATCGTTGTTGTTGCAAATTTAATGTTTTTGGTGTATCATTTTCAAATTATGCATTTGGAACAATATGGCTGCGTTTTTATGTGACTAATTTTAACTCAAATGTATAAACTACATAAGGAAGTATTATATACAATAAAAAAAAAATCCAAAGACGAGCTTTGGAAATGCTAGCGAAGAACAAAGTAATAGATGAATAAAACTGCAGTTATACTTAAAAATTTTTAAGGAAAACTTATACCCATATAAGTTTTTTAATCTGTAAAAGATTATTGAAAATGATTATAAATTCGTGATTAGAATTTTAAAAAGAAATAAAAACAATAAATTAATGACTTTTAAATGAAACAAAAATATTTTATAATAAATATCATAGTTTTGTATATAATAATAGTGTTTACTAAATCTAAAATTTTGATTTTAAATAATATTTTTATAAAAATAAAAATAATACAAAATAACTTCTAGTTAAAAATTTCAAGGTTTTTCAATTTAATACTGGGTAACATAATCACTGTTACTACTATATAAATTTTTATACACAATTGTACCTCTGAGTATATTCACCGTACTGACTCTGAGTGCAATGAAAAAATATTTCATATTGGCATCTCTTCATAAGCAACAACAACAAAAACAACAATCACAATAAAATTATTTATATATACCCAAGTTGGCAATTGTCTATACAAAGAAGGATATGCAAATATGTAAAATATAATATAAAAAAAAAATAACAAAAAAAAAATGTTCATAAAAAACTGTTTTCTTCCTAGTACTTTTTTTTTCATATTTCGTGCTTATTATTTTATGATTTTTCGCATATGGTAAGCATAATTCCTTAGTGTATTCGCTTGTATAAGCTACTATGGAATTATTCAAAAGGTAGTGTATGAATGTCCTTTTGTCTAATATGACATTTCCGATATGTACAGTACAAATTTTGTACAATAAAAATAAAAATATTAAAAATATATGTATCAGAGTTGGATTTACTATTATTTATTTATATGTTGGAAATGTTAAAATTTTTATAATTTTTTAATTTTTTGTTAAATGCTAATGAAATACCTCATTAAAATATTTCGTGGGTTTTAAAGGAAGTTAAGTGTTTAAAAAAAATTTTTTGATGAAGAAGAAAATAAAAATATACAAAAAAGTTTTGTATGAAAAAACGCAAATGATGGTAAAATTTAGCTGACAAAAGACAGTGGTAAAGATACCATAGTACCATAGATACCATTAATATGCTCAAGAAAGTTTTTCTATATGAATGTTTGAAGCTTCTACAGGTTCGAAACGTACAGCATGGGATTAGTTTATGGATCGATTTGAAGCAATGCGAACTATTGCTAAAAATTCGCCTATGGTTAAAGGCGACTATATCAAAATTCGAAATTTTTCTGTAAACAATAAAATTTAATATATTTTTTAAAAAAAAATGCAGTGTTTTGGTTAGTCAATATTTAAATCCCAAACTTTTTTTTTACAAAATTGTTTCCATATTCAATAAAATTTAAGATTATTTAAAAAATATAACATTCTATCTGAACTAAATAAAACATTTTTATATACAAATTATAGTATAAAATCATATATATCGGCATATTACTATAATGAGCCTGTACAGAACGTATAGAAAAGTAACGCATACGTCATGAAGTCATGAAAAAGTATGAAAAACGATTATTTTTAAAGAATAAAGTATTTAACTAATACATACATATATATAATATAATACATACATACATTTTTCAAATATTTTATTTGAATTGCTTTGTGCGAGAGTCCTTTTGGAAATTTAAACTAATTCAATTAACTTCAACTTTATCCACAAAAACTACTGTTTCAACTGCATACACTTGTATCCTTGATATTTTTAAGCTTTATATTAATATTGTATCCTTTTTTATTGGCAAAATTTTTGACAACTTCACTGTGCATACATCTTTTATAATAAAAATAAATATTTTCTATATATTCAACTAGAGTCGATGTCTGCAAATTTTGTTACTAACTAAATTACATACAAAATATATGGGAAGCGGTTATAAATATGTTGTAACAATAACAAAAACAACAAAAACAAATAATAGCAACAACAACAAATAATAGTAGCAAAAACAACAATAAATAAATGTTAAAAATTTGAGTGCACTTAAGAAACAAGTTGTGGCTTATACTTTTTTTTTTGCAGTGTATGTATAGCTGTTAGCTATTATTGAATATAATTTGAACATTAAACCATACCTCAATGCATATATATATAATATGTATATAAATTTATATGTTGTTGTATAAAATTTCATATTTGTTGAAAATTTATGAATTACTTTTTGATTGCGGTTGGTG